GTCCCGAGCACTGTTGAGGCGGTGTGGGAGGATGGTCCCTGGCACTGTTGAGGCGGTGGGAGGTGATGGTCCCTAGCACTGTTGAGGCGGTGGAGTGATGGTCCCGGCACTGTTGGAGGCGGTGGGGAGGTGATGGTCGCTAGCACTGTTGAGGTGGTGGGGATGATGGTCTCTAGCACTGTTGGAGGCGGTGGGGAGTGATGGTCTCGCACTGGCACTATTGAGGCGGTGGGGTGATGGTCCCACACTGTTGGAGGCGGTGTGGAGTGATGGTCCCTGGCACTGTTGAGGCGGTGGGAGGTGATGGCCCAGCACTGTTGAGGCGGTGTGAGTGATGGTCCCTGGCACTGTTGGGAGGCGGTGGAGGGAGAGATGGTCCCTAGCACTGTTGTGGCGGTGGGGGGTGATGGTCCCTGGCACTGTTGAGGCGGTGGGGGGTGATGGTCCCTAGCACTGTTGAGACGGTGGGATGGTCCCTAGCACTGTTGATTCGGTGGGAGTGATGGTCCCTGGCACTGTTGAGGCGGTAGGGATAGATGGTCCCTAAAATGGCGGTGGGGGGTGATGGTCCCGGCACTGTTGAGGCGGGGGTGATGGTCCTGAGCACTGTTGAGGTGGTGTGGGGTAGGTGCCGAGCACTGTTGAGGTGGTGGGAGGTGATGGTCCCTATCACTGTTGAAGCGGTGTGGGTGATGGTCCCAGCACTGTTGAGGCGGTGGGGATGATGGTCCCTGAGCACAGTTGAGGCGGTGGTGGGGGTGATGGTCCCAGCACTGTTGAGGCGGTGGGGGTGATGGTCTCAGCACTGTTGAGGTGGTGGGGATGTGATGGTTCCCAGCACTGGCACTGTTGGGGGCGATGGGACGATCCCGAGCACTGTTGGAGGCGGTGGGGTGATGGTCCCTAGCACTATTCAGGCGGTGGGAGGTGATGGTCCCTAGCACTGTTGGAGGCGGTGGGAGGTGATGGTCTCCTGGCACTGGCACTATTCAGGCGGTGGGGGTGATGGTCCCTAGCACTGTTGATTCGGTGGGAGGATGGTCCCTGGCACTGTTGGAGGCGGTGGGAGGTGATGGTCCCTAGCACTGTTGAGGCGGTGGGAGGTGATGGTCTCTGGCACTGTTGAGGCGGTGGGGTGATGGTCCCTGGCACTGTTGAGGCGGTGGGGGTGATGGTCCTCAGAACTGTTGAGGCGGTGGGAGGTGATTGTCCCGAGCACTGTCGAGGCTGGTGGGGGTGATGGTCCCTGGCACTGTGGAGGCGGTGGGGAGGTGATTGTCCCGAGCACTGTTGGAGGCTGTGGGGGGGTCATGGTCCCTAGCACTGTTGATTCGGTGGAGGATGATCCCTGGCACCTTGAGGTGGTGGGAGGTGATTGTCCCGAGCACTGTTGGAGGCGGTGGGGGGTGATGGTCCCTAGCACTGTTGAGGCGGTGTGGAGGATGGTCCCTGGCACTGTTGGAGGTGGGAGGTGATGGTCCCTGAGCACTGTTGAGGTTGGGGGGGTGATGGTCCCTAGCACTGTTGGGATCGGTGGAGTGATGGTCCCTGGCACTGTTGAGGTGGTGGGAGGTGATTGTCCCAGCACTGTTGAGGCGGTGTGGGGGTGATGGTCCCTAGCACTGTTGAGGCGGGAGTGATGGTCCCGGCACTGTTGAGGTGGTGGGGGATAATGATCTCAGCACTTGGAGGCTGTGGGGTGATGGCACTGGCACTGTTCAGGCGGTGGGGGTGATGGTCCCTATCACTGTTGAGGCAGTGAGGTGATTGTCCCGAGCACTGTTGAGGCGGTGGGGTAATGGTCCCTGGCACTGTTGAGGCGATGGGAGGTGATGGTCCCGAGCACTGTTGAGGGGGTGGGGGTGATGGTCCCTAGCACTGTTGGAGGCTGTGGGGGGGTGATGGTCCCTAGCACTGTTGAGGAGATGGGAGGTGATGGTCCTGAGCACTGTTGAGGCTGTGGGGGTGATGGTCCCTAGCACTGTTGAGGCGGTGGAGGTGATGGTCCCGGAGCACTGTTGAGGCTGTGGGGGGTGATGGTCCCGGCACTGTTGAGGCGATGGAGGTGATGGTCCCGAGCACTGTTGAGGCGGGGGGGTGATGGTCCCAGCACTGTTGAGGCGGTGGGAGGTGATTGTCCTGAGCACTGTTGAGGCTGTGGGGGTGATGGTCCCTGGCACTGTTGGAGGCGATGGGAGGTGATGGTCCCGAGCACTGTTGAGGCTGGGGGGTGATGGTCCCTAGCACTGTTGGAGGCGGTGGGGGGTGATGGTCCCTAGCACTGTTGAGGCTGTGGGGGTGATGGTCCCTAGCACTGTTGAGGCGGTGGGGGTGATGGTCCCTGGCACTGTTGGAGGCGGTGGCAGGTGATGGTCCCTAGCACTGTTGAGGGGTGGGGGGGGTGTCCCTAGCACTGTTGGAGGCGGTGGGGGTGATGGTCCCTGGCACTGTTGGAGGCGGGTGGGAGGTGATTGTCCCGAGCACTGTTGAGGCTGTGGGGGTGATGGTCCCTAGCACTGTTGAGGCGGTGTGGAGTGATGGTCCCTGGCACTGTTGAGGTGGTGGGAGGTGAGTGTCCCGAGCACTGTTGGAGGCTGTGGGGGGTGATGGTCCCAGCACTGTTGAGGCGGTGTGGAGTGATGGTCCCTGGCACTGTTGAGGTGGTGGGGATGATGATCCCAGCACCTGGTGAGGCGGTGGGGTGATGGTCCCTGGCACTGGCACTGTTCAGGCGGTGGGGGGTGATAGTCCCATCACTGTTGGAGGCAGTGGAAGGTGATGGTCCCTAGCACTGTTGGAGGCTGTGGGGGTAATGGTCCCTGGCACTGTTGGAGGCGATGGAGGTGATGGTCCTGAGCACTGTTGAGGGCAGTGGGGGTGATGGTCCCTAGCACTGTTGGAGGCTGGTGGGGTGATGGTCCCTAGCACTGTTGAGGGATGGGAGGTGATGGTCCTTAGCACTGTTGAGGCTGTGGGGGGTGATGGTCCCTAGCACTGTTGAGGCGGTGGGAGGTGAATGTCCTGAGCACTGTTGAGGCTGTGGGGGTGATGGTCCCTGGCACTGTTGAGGCGATGGGAGGTGATGGTCCCGAGCACTGTTGAGGCTGTGGGGGTGATGGTCCCTAGCACTGTTGAGGCGGTGGGAGGTGATTGTCCCGAGCACTGTTGAGGCTGTGGGGGTGATGGTCCCTGGCACTGTTGAGGCGGTGGGAGGTGATGGTCCCGAGCACTGTTGAGGCTGGGGGTGATGGTCCCTAGCACTGTTGAGGCGGTGGAGGGTGATGGTCCAGCACTGTTGAGGCTGGGGGTGATGGTCCCTAGCACTGTTGAGGCGGTGTGGGGTGATGGTCCCTGGCACTGTTGGAGGCGGTGGCAGGTGATGGTCCCAGCACTGTTGAGGCGGTGGGGGTGTCTCAGCACTGTTGAGGCGGTGGGGGGTGATGGTCCCTGCACAGTTGAGGCGGTGGTGGGGGTGATGGTCCCTAGCACTGTTGAGGCGGTGGGCGGTGATGGTCCTAGCACTGTTGAGGCGGTGGGGGCGGATGTCCCCAGCACTGTTGAGGCAGTGGGGGTGATGGCCTTGCACTGTGGAGGCGGTGGGGGGGTGATGGTCCCGAGCACTGTTGAGGCGGTGGGGGTGATGGTCCCTGGCACTGTTGGAGGCGGTGGGGGTATTGGTCCTGAGCACTGTTGAGGCGGTGTGGGTGATGGTCCCTAGCACTGTTGAGGCGGTGGGCGATGGTCCTGAGCACTGTTGGAGGCGGGGAGGTGATGGTCCCTAGCACTGTTGAGGCGGTGGGGGGGGTGATGGTCGCTAGCACTGTTGAGGCGGTGGGGGTGATGGTCCCTGGCACTGTTGGAGGCGGTGGGGGGGGATGGTCCCGAGCACTGTTGAGGCGGTGTGGGGGTGATGGTCCCTAGCACTGTGAGTCGGTGTGGAGGATGGTCCCTGGCACTGTTGAGGCGGTGGGGAGATGGTCCCTAGCACTGTTGAGGCGGTGGGGGTGATGGTCCTTTCACTGTTGGAGGGTGGGGGGTGATGGTCCCGAGCACTGTTGAGGCGGTGGGGGTGAGCAATACGTAACTGAACGAAGGGCTTGA